CAGGTTCTTGCTATTGTGAACAATGCTGCGATAAACATACGAGTGCAGGTATCTTTTTTATACAGTGATTTGTGTTCTTCAGGGTATATTCCCAGTAGGGGGATTGCAGGGTCATATGGAAGGTCAATTTTTAGAGCTTTTAGGAATCGCCACACTGCTTTCCACAGAGGTTGCACTAGTTTACACTCCCACCAACAGTGTAGAAGTGTTCCCTTTTCACCACACCCTCTCCAGCAGCTGTTATTTTTTGAGTTGTTGATAATTGCCATTCTGATTGGAGTTAGGTGGTATCTCAGTGTGGTTTTGATTTGCATCTCCCTGATGATTAGTGAGGTTGAGCATTTCTTCATGTGTTTGTTGGCTGCTCGAATGTCTTCTTTTGTGAAGTGTCTGTTCATGTCTTTTGCCCATTTTATAATGGGGTTGTTTGTTTTCTTCTTTTCAGTACGTTTCAGTTCCTTGTAGATCCAGGATGTTAAGCCTTTGTCAGACCTAGAGTTGGCAAATACTTTTTCCCAGTCTGTAGGCTGTCTCCCTGCTCTCTTGATGGTTTCTTTGGCTTTGCAGAAGCTTGTCAGTTTAATAAGGTCCCATTTGTCTATCTTGTCTCTTAAGTCCTGTGGGTTTCGGGTTTTGTACAGGAATTGGATGCCAGTTCCGATTTCCATGAGAGTATTTCCTTCCTTTTCTAAGGTTCTTATGGTTTGAGGTTTTACATTTAGGTCTCTGATCCATTTGGAGTTAACCTTTGTGCATGGGGATAGATAGGGGTCCTGTTTCAATCTTCTGCATGTGGTCAGCCAATTTTCCCAGCACCATTTACTGAATAGGTTCTCCTCTCCCCATTGGTAGGTGGTGGGGGCTTTGTCGAAGATGAGTTGGTTGAGAAATTGAGGTTTTGCTTCTGGAATCTCAATTCTGTTCCATTGATCTATATGCCTGTTCCTGTACCAATACCAAGCTGTTTTGATGATTGTAGCTTTATAGTAAAGTTTGAAATCTGGTATTGTGATACCACCTGCTTTGTTTTTTTTGCTGAGGATTGTTCTTGGACGTTTGTGTTTCCATATGAATTCCTGTGTTGTTTTTTCTAGGTCTGAGAAGAATGTTGTTGGTAATTTAATGGGTATTGCATTGAATTTGTAGATTGCCTTAGGTAAGATGGACATCTTCACAATGTTGATTCTTCCGATCCATGAGCATGGGATATTTTTCCACTTGTTCATGTCAGCTTTGATATCTTTGAGCAGTGTTTTGTAATTTTCATTGTAAAGGTCTTTCACATCTCTGGTTAGGAAGATGCCAAGGTATTTCATTTTTTTTGTGGCTATTGTGAATGGAACTGTGTTTTTTATTTGGGTTTCTGTTTGTTTATTATTGGTGTAGAGAAATGCGATTGTCTTTTGGACATTTATTTTGTATCCTGAGACTTTTGTACATTTATTTTGTATCCTGAGACTTTGCCAAAGGCTTTTATCAATGTAAGGAGACCTTTGACAGATTCTCTTGGGTTTTCAAGGTACACCATCATATCATCTGCATAGAGAGATAACTTGACTTCCTCTTCTCCTATTTGAATACCTCTGATTGCCTCCTCTTCTCTGATTGCTTTAGCCAGGACTTCCAATACTATGTTGAACAGGAGGGGAGAGAGTGGGCATCCTTGTCTAGTTCCAGTTTTCAGGGGAATTGGTTCCAATTTTTGTCCATTTAGGAGTATGCTGGCTGTGGGTTTCTCGTAGATAGCTTTTACTATTTTGAGGTATGTTCCCCATATGCCTAGATGTTCAAGAGTTTTTATCAAGAAGGGGTGCTGGATTTTATCAAAAGCTTTTTCTGCATCTAGTGATATGATCATGTGGTTTTGACATCTGTTGATGTATTTAATTACATTTATGGTTTTACGAATGTTGAACCAGCCTTGCATGCCAGGAATGAAGCCTACTTGGTCATGGTGGATGATTTTTTGAGATGTATTGCTGAATCCGGTTTGCTAGGATCTTGTTGAGAATTTTAGCATCCATGTTCATCAAAGATATTGGCCTGTAGTTCTCTTTCTTTGCTGAATCTTTACCTGGCTTGGGTATCAATGTGATGTTGGCTTCGTAAAATGATTTGGGGAGAGTTCCATCTTTTTCAATCGCCTGGAATACCTTCAGTAGGATTGGTATCAGCTCCTCCTTGAATGTCTTGTAGAATTCTGCTGGAAAGCCATCTGGACCAGGGCTTTTTTTGTAGGAAGTTTTCTTATTACATAGTCAATTTCCTTGATTTTTATTGGTCTATTTAGGGTCTCAATTTCTTCTTGTTCCAACCTAGGTAGGTTGTGTGATGTCAGAAAGTCCTTCATTTCCTTCTGGTTTTCAAGTTTGTTTCCATACAAGTGTACGTAGTAGTCTCTAATGATCTTTTGTATTTCTTCAGGGTCAGATGTGACTTCATCTTTTGTATTTCTGATTATGCTTATTTGTTTTTTTTCTCGTTTTTTCTTGGTCAGTCTAGCTAGGGGACCATCAATCTTGTTTACCCTTTCGAAGAACCAGCTTTTTGTTTCATTGATTTTTTGTATTATCTTTTGTCTTCTATGTCCTGGATTTGGGCTTTTATTTTGGTGATCTGGATTCTTCTGCTGAAATTAGGGTTTTTGTGGTCTTGCTTTTCCAGCTTCTTTAGGTGGCTTGTTAGGTTGTCAATTTCTGTTCCTTCCATTTTCCTCATGTGTGTTTGTAGGGATATAAATTCCCCTCTTATTACAGCTTTTAAGGCATCCCAGAGATTTTGGTAAGATGTTTCTTTATTTTCATTTGTTTCCAGGTATCTTTTGATCTCTATTTTGATGTCATCATTGACCCAGGAGTTATTTAGCATCATG